AGTCGAATGCCTTGCGCTTGTCCAACCTCTCGGAGTCTATCTCGTCGCAGGCGTCCCAGGCGTCGCCCCGCAATGACTGCAGGAGTAGATGCGTTCCTCCACTCAACACCTGGTGTCCGCGCCGAACACGCAATATTTGAAACACCGTGGCTGGCCGATGGAATTTCCTGTACGCGTCGAACCTCAGGTCAACCGCATCCGCATCCGGGCAGCACTTCGCAAACCTGGCGGCCATTCGCGGCTGTCGCTCAAAGCCGCCGCCTCCGCGTCGGCCATCACTCCTCAACTCGCTGTCGTCGTCCTCTCCTGGGATTTGCGTCTCGTCCGCTGTTTGGGTTCGCCTTTGCTCGTCTCCGGCTACAGCTGCAGCAGGCCATTGCGGTTGAGGTCTTTGTTGCCGCGCTCCACATCGTCCGCCGCCGCGGCCAGTTCCGCGACCAATGTCGGTTGCACACCAATGGAACCACCGAGGCCCCCACGCACGAAATTGAGATCCGAATATCATTGTCTTTGTATGTGTTGTTGGTTATCTCTCTCGCCCTTTCTCTCGCTCTCTCTCTCTCTCTCTATTTCTCTCTCTCTCTCTCTCTTTCCGTCTTTCTCTTTCTCTCTCGTTCTCTCTCTCTCTCTCTCTCTCTCCCTCTCTCTATGTACACATACGAATGACTATGATAGAACAATGATCGAAATTAAATGCACGTATCTGTTAACAGCTCCAGAGCCCCTGCCACAATTTGATTCAAATGCACCGGCGGCGGCACGTACACATACACGCACACAGCACGCGCACTACGCAAACACCACATCATCCAGAGCTCAGTACATTGGAACTGATCTGTGCCACTGACAGGCGCCGTAGCATGCCCGTTTCAATCCTGAACAGATTCAATTGAACGCGCATTGGGGTGATGACTTAAGTCGACCAAATCAGAGCAAAAATTGAAGCTCCCTCGCGTCGAGCGGATCTGTAGACTTAGGTCGAAATGGGGGGAGCCACAAGTCCCCGTAGGCGTGCTAGGTACTGGCCTCCTTAGTTGCCGCGTTCCGAACGTCGCAACCGCACATCCTAGAAGGGGTTCGAGAAGACCGCCTGCATGATATGTGTTGCGGTTGGAATGAAAAATCCTGATATTGGTTGGACGGCGTTCGTACGTGCGCGAAACACTTTGTTGAAACGGCCCCGCCCTGCTAACATGTTGTGCAAATCTCCCTCGTGAATGCCGGGGAAGCCGAACAACCACCCCAGGCATTCGCAGTTTAGTAGGAGCAAGACCTCGGTGAGTTCATCTTCATTCCAGAAAAGGGTAATCTATATATATATATATATATAGATTCCTTCCCTCCACCTGGTCTTTGTTAGGATCGGGCTTCGTCTGGGTGCACCGACAAACTGCGTCTGGATGCTCAGGCTTGCAAGTGTCGAATTGAGTGGGCAAGCTGTCGAACGCTGGAGGTGGGAATCACTATGTTGGCGGAACGCAAGGCTTGCTGTCGCTGAACAGGGAGGGGACTCGCACGCCACGGTTTTGTTGTCCGTCCGGGTCAGTGCTGACAGCTCTGCTGCTGGTGTCTGCTCTTCCTACTGCCGCGCGGGCGTGGTATCACTACTGATCGGGTAGATGGAGGCAGTGGGTGAGGGGGGCCGAGATGAGGAGCAGGAGCTGGAGGACTCGACCCGCGCTCAAGGAGGCCAGCTGCACCAGCCTCCGATGAATCGGCGGTCCTTCGCCACAGCGGACCAAAGGGCACATCAACACATCACCCTGCCCTCACTCAACATCGCCCTCTCCCCCCATCTTCCCCCTTCTCTTCCCATCCCCCTGTTTCCCCCCCCCCCCTGCTTCTCTCACCTCCGCTCCTCCTCTCCTCACCCTCCCCTGCTCATCTCCTCCTCCCTCCTCCATCTAACCAGCCTCAACCCCCCACAACAGCATCGGCGCAGGAGGATGGGGAAGCAGCAGCGGGATGGGATGAAGACAAGGAGGGTAAACCGCAGGAGGGAGCAGGGCGAGGAGGCTGCGGTGGCCTCGCGCGCTGGGGGCGCAGAGGGCGCGGCGGGTGCCCCGGGCACGCGCCCGGAGCCCTCCCCCGAGGCGGCCTCTGCTTGTCGCGACGCGCGGCGAGAGGTCGCACGGCGGGGAGCAGGAACGAGAAGTGAAGAGGAGGGCCTGCATACAGTCGAGGTTTTGCCATGAGGGTATCAGATGATACGGGGCGAGGCCCCTTTTGAAATTCAGTCGCGTCTAAGGCCTAGATGGACGGAGGGGCCCAAAGGAAAACCAACCGAAGGGCGCAAAGAACGTCGAACACCTCTCAAAGCCAACATGCAAAGTATTCCAAAGCTATGACAGGAGACATATCCACAACGTTACGCTGAATCGTACTACGCTTCGAAATAACATATTCCGCCTCCGCCTCCTCCTCCATTCCTCCTCCTTCTCCAGGTCATCATGCTCCTCCTCCACCTCCTCCTCCTCCTCTTATCCCCTTGGGCCGAAAAGGCGAGAATGCCTCCTCCTCCTCCTCCTCCTCCTCCTCCTCCTCCTCCTCCTCCTCCTCCTCCTCCCCGTTCACTTCTACATAACTCCTTCTTTCAAGATGTGGCTCTCACCTTAGCGCCGCGCGCATTCGACTTACAATTTGCAAGAATCTAATGGATTGAGCGCAGAGGGTTTTCAAAATGTGGCTCTCGCTTTTGGGCCGCGCACCTTCGTCTAAAATTAGCCTGCCGTAGCTGAGAGTATCGTCTTCGGTGAAGCGCCCGATAAAGCGACGAAGCATATGAGAGATGAGCCGAAGTGGGGTGTAACTACATGCGAACCCTGCCACTGAGGCTTTCGGTGGGGCAATTTATGGGGCCACGAAACGTGTGAGAGGTGCGCCGAAATGGAAGTGGAACTGCATGCGAACCCTGCCAGTGAGGCCTTCGGTGGGGCACCCTATGGGGCCACGAACCGTGTGACGGGTGCGCCGGAATTGGGGGTGGAACTGCTTGCGAATGTTCCCTCTGGTGCCTTCGGTGGGGCTCTCCATGGGGCCACGAACCGTATGAGAAGCGCCGGAATGTGAGGTGGAACTGCAAGCGACCTTTCCCTCTGGAGACTTCGGGGGAGCTCCCTATAGTCCCTCGAGCCGTGTGAGGAATGTACCGAAATGGGGGGTGGAACTGCATGCGAACTTTCCCACTGATGCCGTCGGTGGAGCTCCCCATGGGGCCGCGAACCGTGTGAAAGGTGTGCCGACATGTGCGATGAAACTGCATGCGGACCCTGCCACTGAGGCCTTCGGCGGAGCTCTCAACGGTGGCACGAGCCGTGCGAAGGGTGCGCCGAAGTAGAGGTGGAACTGCATGCGAACTTTCCCACTGGAGCATTCGGTGGAACTCCCTACGAGGCCGCGAACCGTGCGAAAGGTGTGCCGACATGGGGTATGGAACTGCACGTGAACTTCCCCTCTGGGGACTTCGGTGGGGCTCCCTATGGTGCCACGAACCGTGTGGGGAATGTGCCGAAAAAGGGAGGTAGAACTGCATGCGAACTGTCCCACTGAAGCCTTCGGTGGAGCTCCCTATGGGGCCACGAACCGTGTGAGGGGTGTGCCGAAAGGGGGTGAAACTGCATGCGGACCCTGCCACTGGGGCATTCGTCGGAGCTCCCTATGGGGCCACGAAGTTTGTGAGGGGTGCGCCAAAATTGAAGCAGCGGGAGGGGAGGAGGAGGGGGAGGAGGAGAGCAGAGTTGGGACGCGGGGCGCTGACCCTTCGAAACGAGAACCCAACACCACATGACGGTGGGGAAACATTGCAAGGAGTTTCATGGATCGAGGGCGGTCCAATTCAAAATGTGACTCTCGCCACAGCGCCGCGCATTTGTTGCATGTGCAAGCGATTCACGGATTTAGGGCGGGTGGTTTTCGAAATGTGGCTCTCGCCTTAGCGCCGCGCGCATTCGTTTTCAAGATTTGCACGGAGTTTCACTGATTTGATGGTTAACGTACCAGAAGTGGTGTTTTGGAACGGCTCAGGATTGTCAGGGCACAACATGTACGTTGATTTGCGGTGTTGAAGTCCAAGGAATGGTGTCCTCGCGCGATTCAGGATCGCCACGACGTAACAGTCAGAAGAACTCGTGGCGTTGAAGTCCTGACAATGGTATTTTGGCACGTTTCAAGATGCTCACACGGTTGTCCTCCAACGGGGCGATTCCCTCAGTGAAAACGAAGCCCTGCAGGGGCCTAAGGAGAGGGATCTTGGAGGGAGGATGGATTCAACATCGTTGATGAATCTTGTGTTTACACTGGTCCTCCTCCTCCTCCCTAATTACCGCACGGGCGAAGGAGAGGTCGGGATCACGACCCGCCCCACTGCAGACGACTTGTCGAGTTTGTGATGTTCCTGCTCTCGGCCTCCTTCCCGCTGCGCTGTTGCAAAGGCACGGTGGCGGGTTTTGCTCAGGCAGCTGGATAGTTAGCAAACCCGAGAGTCATGCGACATTACTCCCACGATTCGCTGCAGCATAGTGGCGCTGCTCTCAAAGCTGCCCAAAGATGGTCCTTCCAAGCCTTTTGGAAGAACTCAGCAGAACCACCCTGCGGCATGTGTTCAAATGCTGCGCTGGCACGGTGGCGAGGGCCGCCGCAAGCAGTAGTCGGCTGCGCGCGCAAGGTGGTGGAGAGAGGGGGAGGGTTTCTTAAAGGAGGTTGCTTCTTGGAAGGCGCCGGCCATACATCTACAGGCCCGCGCCTTCTAAGAAGCAGGGGTGCTTCTAAGGAGCGCTTCCCCTCCCCCCACCCCCCTCTGCGCGTGGCTGAAGTAGATGAATAGGGGCCCAGGGACACACACACACACAAATAAATACACACAAATAACAGGATACCCCATATTTCCGTATATTTTCTGTGTTTTTGTCGTCCCCCCACTTCCCATATTCTCCCATATTGTCCGGGGAGTCGACGATTAATTGTGTCTGCGTGTATTTCTCCCTCCTGAAAGTAGAGTGTGCGCGCGACGGGCTGCCGTCCTGGAAGGTCCTTTCTGCCCTGCGAGGCGCGTCTTCCACTTCGCAGAGGCGTCGCGTCGAGCAATTGCCGCGCGGCCGGCGCGCGCTGGCCTCGCCACCTCGGCGCGCTCCGCCGGCGGAGGCGGCCACCTACGCACACGACCCCATTGCATTCTTACTCCTCCTCCTCCTCCTCCTCCTCCTCCGCCTCGTCCTCCGCCTCCTCCTCCTCCTGCTCCTCCTCCCCCGTAGCCATTTTGGCTCAAGTACGAAACCGTGGCCCTGCGGCTTCGTACTTGCCCGCAGCCGAGGGGCTGGCTCGAGGCGAGCTGGCCCACAGCAGGCCTCCGAGGGTGGCAGGGCAGCCCCTGCCTCAGGCCCTCCACCCTTCGACTTTCGGCATCTGTCGGTTCGGAGCCCGCGCTCCGCCCGCAACCACGATCTCTCCAGCCAGACTTTTCTTTGGCATTCTCGCCCTCGTCAGTGCAGCGCCATGGCTTCCCGCGGCAAGTACCTGGTGTGCCCCCGCGCCAAGTGCCGCGGGTGGGAATGGGCGCCTGCCAAGGCTTGCTCGCAGTGCGGTTCGCACCTCCAGGCCCTCGGCCAACGGAGTCGAGCGAGCAGCAGGCAGCCCTCCCACCCGCCCCGCACCAGTGGCCGAGGGGGCAGAGGCGCTGCATGGGAACCTCGAGTACGGTTTGTGGACGACGGTAAGGAGGAGCAGACATCGCAACAACAAGCGCCTGACAAAGATCCTGGATACCCCGCCCAACCTGACCCAGTCGCACTGGCTCAGGCCCAAGTCACCTTCTGGAAGAAGTGGGTCGGTGTGCAGGGCAAAGGGTACTTCGACGCTCTGGAGGTACTCAAGCACGCAAAGATGGAAGCGCTGCGAGGCAAGAGCCTCGACCAGCAGGCCCAGTCAGTGCACGGCCAAGTGCAGATCACCAAGCAGAAAGTGGAGGGCTTCCAGCACGAGCTCACTGACATCGCGGCGCAGATCACGTCCCTGGCCACCCAGTGCAAGACGCGCTCCAAGGAGCTCGCGGACCCGAAGGACGAGCTGCAGCAGCTCGAGGCGCAGCGGGCCATGGCGGCCCACGCGGCAGCGCAACAGGCATCCGAGAACACCGGCATGTCTGAGATGGTCTACGCGGCGTTGCCGGCGAAGGTCCCGCCAGGAGTCGCCCCGCCAGTCCTGCAGGCCAAGGTGCAGGACCTGGCCAACACCTTCGACCAGCTCAAGAGGCAGCACGAGAGCGCAGCGGCGGACAGCGCCTCGCCGTCGCCGACGCCGACCCCGCCGCTGCCAGCGCCCACCCAGCCCCCACCGCCTTTACAGGCACCAAGGCCAGAGAGTCTGCATGACGGCATGGCCAAACCAGTTGGTCCAGACTCAGAGGAGGAGGACGACGCCATGGCCTTCGTGGGCTGGGGCAGCGGCGACAAGCACGCCCTGGACGAGGTCGCCAATCTCACGGAGCAGAACAAGGACGAGGAGGCGGCCAAGCGACTCCGCGAGGCCACAAACGCTAGCCAGCCAGGAGAAGATAAGTCGCCTCTTTGACGTCATCATGTTCATAGCCTCCAACGGCAGCTGCTGGCCAGCTTTCGAGTAGTTCGTTGAGTCGCAGTGGGTGAATGATGCGACGCTGATCTGCGCCCAGGAACACAGGCTATGCGATGGGGGCATCATTGCCCAGAAGACCCAGCGGTGCCAGCAGAGGGGATGGCTGGCGCACATCCCGCCAGCCAATTTCAATGGAGCGCGTCAACGGAGTGGCCATTCTCGTCAGCGACGGGCTCGACCTGGGGGTTGAGCCGATGCATTTCGAGAGCCACGTTGACGAGAGCCGCCTCGCAGGTGTCTGCCTGGAGGCCCCAGGCTTGCCGAAGGTCGGCCTCGTGAGCGCGTATTTCCTTGCCTCCGAGGGCCTAGGTAAGACCAACCTGGGCCTGCTCGCAGACAGCGCGGTCCAACCGGACAGACTCCGCCCACCCATTATTGCGGCGGGGGATTCCAACCTGTCCCCCGCGAAGATCGAATCCACGGAGTGTTTGAACAGGGCCTCCTTGAAGATCGCGGCCCCAGAGGAACCAACGTGTCGGAAAGCCAAATCGAGCAACGTTCTGGATTTCTTCCTGATCAGCGAAACCCTGGGCGAGTGGACGGAGAAAGTTCAGACTTGGACCAGGTGCCCGCTGTCTCCTCGCAGGCCAGTTCGTCTAGTCTTTCAAAGCGACGATAGTTTTCTTGTGCCAGCCCTGAAGAAGCCCCAGCGACATCCTTCAGTCAAACCGTCCGGCCCGTCTAAAAGGCCAACCAGCTGGACCCAAAGCGAGTGTGATTAGCTAGGCCAATGCTGTGCTTCACGATGCGGCTACGCCTCTCGGAATTCCACAGCGCCAGGCCATTCTGGATTACTGCTACTTCATGGTGGTAATGGACCCTGAGCAGTCCCTCGGCAGCCTCACGGATAACCCTCTTAGACACTCTACGGCCCCACGTGCGAGCCCCCCAGTGGTTAAAAGCGGTGCGTGCCAAATTCTCAAACTCGCGCTAGTTGGAAGTCTCTGGAGGCCCCGCTTCGATGGCTTCGAAACCGTCTCGTCGACATCAATTTCGTCGCTTCGAAGGCGGACACTAGCCAGTTAGAGTATTTGGTGGCGGGCCTGCAGGACTCGCCAGAGGAGTTTGCTCCGGTCGAATCTTTGAAGCAGCTGTTGGCGACAGCGTCGCAGCTCGGAGCACTTCTCCTTGCAGACGCAACCGCTGGAGTGCTACCCGCGGGCGCAAACGACCCGGCCATGAACGACATTCTCCAGGACCTGGACCGAGCCATATACAACGAACGGAAACAGCAACATTCCGAATCGGCCAAAGCCTGGGCCTCGCGGGTCCAAAGTTCCCTTCAGGGAGGAGTCGGCTGGGCCCGCAGATGGACGAGGAGCCTGGAAGCCTGGAAGCCAGCATCAACCCTCGTCAAGGGACGATGGTCAGGTCGCCCAAGCAGCATTCTAGAAGGGGAAGCCGAAAGACTTGCCAGTCTCTGGGACACCTCGGTCAAGCCACAGGATAATCCAGTTCCAAGGGACATCGATGACAGAATAGCCCTGGGACCGATGGACGGCAAGACCCTTCCGGAAGCAGCTAAGAGTTTTTCAGTGACGACAGCTTCAACGTGGGGCGGAGTCCAACCGAGGCACCTCGCGCTCATCACCGAGCAGCAGGCAGACATTGTCGCGCAGCTGTTGCTCCCCATCGAGAGCCTAGGTTTCATGCCCTCGCAGATACAAGCAATAATCTCAATACTTATCATGAAGCACAAGCAGCAATATCCGCAGGCAACGAAACCAGCAATGAGATCGATCGGAATGATGTCAGGCCTGCATCGCGCTTGGGCTAGAGCAAGACAGTCAGCAGCGAGAGAATGGGAACGGAATCGCAGGCGCCCATTCCTCGCTCACCAAGCAGGGCATTACATAGTGGAGCTAGTTGTCAAGCAGAGCTTAGCGTGCGAGTGTTACTCCAAGCGTAACGAACAACTACATTCAGTCATGGTTCTCTACGACCTCAGCAACTACTATGAAAACATTAACCGCAGCATGCTTGCTACCCGAGCCCTTCGCAGTGGTTTCCCCGCCACCCCGCCCAGGATCATCCTGGGGATTGTTTTTGCGAGCCTCAGATATGTAGGACACGAGGACCTGGCGATGTCGGCGGGCCACACAGTACATGGCATCGCTGCGAGGTGTGGTCTTGCAACATACCTCATACAGATGTTCACGATAGACCCCCTGGACTCCTGGACCCAGCAGAACCCCGATGTGGACCTCTACAGGTTCATAGACGATATCCTCTTAAAGAATCATGATTACAAGATCTGCCGCATCGCCGGCCGCCTGAACCGCGGCACCCAGAGCTTGCTAGATGGCATCCAGACCGATCTTGACAGCAAGATCGCCCCCGCCAACACTCAGCTGTTCGCTCCTGCAGACTGCAAGCCCGAGCAGGCTGCACAACGGACATTTCGGGACCCAGCCTCGGCTGCGAGACTGCAACAGGTGCCCCCCAGCGCAGGTGGAGAAAGGATCGAGTAGCCAAAGCCAGGACGGACAGAATCAAGAAGAGGATGAGGAGACTTGGATCCATCATGAGAGCTGGAAGGGATACGCGCAAGATCTACAACACGGGCACATTTGCGGCAGCCTCTTTCGGCCACGAGGTCACGGGTCTCAACGACAGCCAGCTGGCCACTGCTCAGCAGCGGTACTTAAAACTAGCAGGACCCAAATGTGCCACGAGAAGCAAATGCCTGAGCCTCCTCCTGATCGGTGGCCCCACGTGGAAACTTGCCCTAGGACCCGCTCTCGTTTGGCATTTAATAGTGTGGTCGGCCACAACCAGTCCCCTACCCTCCCTCCGCAGGAAGGAAGGCCCTGATGGGCCAGGCCCCGTCGCGCTGGAGCAGCGTTCGGGGCCCCATTCGCCGCTGTAATGCTTCCCTTGCATCGCATAGGCTGGACCCTGGTTTCCAAGGACAGCAATATCCTCTAACGTGTTTCTCGCCAGCCTATGTGCAACAGAAAATGCAGCAAACTGGCAGTAGCAGCTTAGAGAGCGAGCTGCTAGCAAGCTTGGTCACGCAGGCCCCCAGGTGAATGCCCACGTTGCCACGAGTCCTCGCCAGCTCTAATGTAACCAATCAGGAGCGGGGCAGTCTTCTAACTTTCCTCGCGCAAGGCACCTGGGCAAAGTCCAGGGCCAACGATGCCGGGCAGGATATAGACACCCAGTGCGAATGTGGATCTCCCAACGACTCACTGCATCACCGTTTGTTCCAGTGCCATCTCGCAGGAGGAGCGAGATAGAGCTTTATCGCCAGGAGAGCAGGATCTCATCCTTCAAGGACAAGATCCGCTCCTAAAATTCGGTTTCCAAATCAGGCCTGATTTTAACGCTTGCCCCCCGATTGGAACAGGGCTGGCGCATTGCCAGTTTTGGTGCGTAGACCCCGACGTCAGCCTGGAGGAAGCTTTCTCAGGCCCAGTATACGTGGACGGCAGCTGCGACAATTCGAGACACCCAGCTGTCCAGTCGGCTGGTTGGGCCGTAGTCAGCATGAGAAACGAGGAACCCTTCGCGATGTTGTCAGGCCAGGTGGGCAACCTGT